TAAATAAAATATAATTATTATTAAAATTAATGTTTATATATATAAGTATACATATATTTAATTTATTTTATAATTTCTATTTTAATAAAATTAATTTAAATTTGATTAAATATTTTGCAATTTTTAATCCAATGAATGAATGAATGACAATGAACTAAAAGTATTTTAATTAAAAGTATATTTTTTATGAGCAAATAAATTAAAAGTATAATTTTTATAAATAATTAAATTAAAAGTAATTTTTAAAATTTTATAATAATTATTTTTAACGATGTAAAATATAAAAATAAATTGATATTTTATTTTATAGAAAATGAATAATATAATACTTATATTCTTAAAGAGAGAAGTGTAATTTACATTAATAATCATATGTTAAATGAATTACATTATATATTTTAACATAAGAGATAAAAATAGTATAATATTCTTATATTTTATAAATAAATAAAAAGTTCACTCTTAATTTATTTATTGATTATACGTGACATATATGTTAAATAACCATTTTGAATTGCGGATTTAAATTTAATTTTATTTTCTTAACTTTTTCGAATTCCTTAAAACGTAAGATAGTGTTATTCTTTAATTAGAAGATGTTAAAGTATAATTATTTCACATTCTTTTCATTTTCATTCTTCTGCTTTGCTCTGATTTTGAATCATGTCTTGGGTAACAATAGTAATTTTGTCTTACAAATGCTTCTTATTTCATCCATAATATTAAAATAATAAAGCGACAATGACTCATTGAAAAATAAATATATAATGGATATGCTGATTAAATAATTGTTAATCATTTTTACTCCTTATGAGTAAATTACATTCTTCTATCCTAAAACATACAAATATATTACATTATTACATTATTTTTCTTCTCATATTATCATAAGGAAAAAATTTGAATGACAAACAACACCTATAATACATGCATTTAATTGGCTACGTACTCCCTACCATTATTGCGATAGTTAATTATAAATAATAAATTTTTTAAATCAAATTAATAAATCATTAAACATGTGATTGTGACTAATTATTTATTTAATGCGTTTGGAATAATTTTAAAAAATAAGTTATTTCAATAATTGGTTATAATTATGGTGATTGTTACAAGAGAAAAAAGCTCATGCTATAACATTGAAAAATAATTTTACATTATCATTTAACAACAAATAATCATGTATAATAATCTTATTGACTTTTACCATAATTAAATTAAAAGCCATATTAGTAATGATGTAAAATTATTTTACGTTTAAAATAGATAATTATTAAACCTTGTTATAATTAATAAATTATAATCAAAATGAAACTTTGCTTCTACAAATTTGCTATAAAAAAAATAAAAAAAACTCTTTTAAGATATTTAGTTTCGTATGGATACAACAAAAATTCACTTTTACATGGTAAATCAATTTTAAGAGAAAAAAGGTTAATAAAAGATAATCATAAACTTTAAAATTACATATGCATAAAAATAACTTATTATTCGGAAGAAAAAAAAAATCATTACAAATTTTTGTTGTTCCAGACATATAACTCATTTTGCAAACAATTTTTTTCTGAAAAAAATAGCTGAAATTTGGGGGTAAAGCTTTCCGGACATGCTCCCCAATAATTTTAAGAAATTTAATTTCATTAGAATATAATTAATAAATATTGACTTTTACATAGTTTAACTAATTTCAGAGGTAAAAAAAGTTGATGAAAAATAATCATAATTTTTAAACTTTCATATGCATAAAAATAACCTTTTTTAAAAAAGAAAAATTATAGATTTTCATTATTATTCTAAATATACAACTTATTTTACAAATGATTTTTCTTCTTTAAAAACATTTGAAGTAGAAGAAAATAAGTTTTTCCAATCATACAATTAATAATTTTATTCTTCATTTGTATGGCGTGTATCACCTCTCAACAGTGACATGGATTAATTTAATTTTTTTTGTGTGTGAAAGTTTTTGTACATCTCAAAGTTCCATCTAAGACTGAAATAATCTAAACATAAGAAGGAGAATGAATATAAGTGGAATAAGATCGACTGTTAAGTATAATTAAAAAATAATAAAGTGAAGAGATTCATTTATTATTATTATTTTGACGCTCTTTTAACAAGAAATAGGTAAGAAATTTTCGCTTCACATAAGACAAAACAAAGGTGAATACTTACACTTTAAGATAATACGAATCGATTTTCTTTTGCCCTGTCAATTAAAGGTTATCTGCTATTCACTTACAACTTCAATTTTTTTAATCGATTAACTTCTATTGTTATAATTTTTTTTTTATCATTCAAATCAAATAATTTCATAAATCATTTCATTTCTATTTATCTTTTCACTCGACTGGATAAGATTCAAACGAAAAACAAGAACTACTTTTGATGAGACTTACACATTTATTAGAAAAGCAAACGTGTCTCCTAATAAATTAAGCACCCAAACTAAGACAATATAGAAGTCCACAAAACAATTAATTGCAAAAAAAAAAAAAAAAAGAATGTGAAAAGAAGAAACGAAATCCGAAACAAAAATTATAGATAACCGACTTTGGTGTATGTGAACGTCGTCGACACGGTTTAAAACTTTAAATGGATTAAAGTCAAAGTCAACAGAGAAATGGAACCAAATAAAGAAAAAACGACGAAACTGAAAATATGGTGTTAGTGACCTAAAACGGGACACGCTAAGGATTCATCCAAAAAATCTCTGACTACAATACTACGTACACTTGGATTGTCTTTAGTAACGGTTTTCACTTTCTTAAAGTTTTTGATTGATGATAAGACTAGCTTGTTAGATGGTATTGGTGTTTGTTTTAAGATTTATAATTACATTTTTATTTTTATGACTTTGTATGTTCCCATTTTTATCTATAGATACCAAACCGAACACATCACTTTGTCGATCCGAGCGACCACGCCAAGCACGATCACTCGGGTCATTTTAGCTAGGGTGTGATCGGTCAAGTCGGCCAGACGGCCAGTTAAATCTGAATACATAATGATATGGAGTTAAATCAAGCAATTAAGGAGAGATTAATTTATATAATGTGTTGTTTTAGTTCCTTAATTTTTCTAGGCCCAGTGCTTAATCACGGCCTAACAAAAAAAAATAGGTCCCAACAAGGTATGTAACTAATTTCGAACTACCGCATTTATTACGCCGATTACTTACTTGAGCGCCAGAGTGTCTTTTGCAGGCACCTTCCCCTACTCAGATTACTTAAAGCCGCACGAAGAGATCAAAGCTGAAGACCAAGATAACTACGATCCAAATAAAAGTGAAGTGTGTTCCCAATATGGAAACATATCTATTATAGGAGGATGTGTTATATTAATTACCCTTATAAATTATAGTTTCTATTTTCTCATCCCACAATTTTCTCTCTAAATTTTTATTACACACTTATCATTTTTAAAATCATTCACTCTTTGTGATAAGAGAAAAAAAAATCATCCGTTATAATTACTTATTTTTAAATCTTAATTTTTTTACATACCAATATTTTTTTTATCATAATTAACTTTTCTTAAAATTCTTTTAAGAATAAATACATTGAGGTGTGAAGTGCCTTCATTTCTCTTTCACCTATTATTATATATAAAGATAATATCTCCTTTAATAACTTTTATTTAGTTTTTATTTTTTATTAGACATCTTTATCTATAAATCCTAATTACATGCTTTATAATTTAATCTACATCTATATAAAAAGACAGTACTTCTTTTAATAACTTTTGGTTGGTTTTTCATTTTTGGTTAGACACTTTCATCTTTAAATTTTAACCACACACTTTATCGTGGTTTGAATGGTACTAGACATGAGGTGAGAGAATTAGCTCTACTAGGATAGGTGTCAAGCGCTAAAGGAGTGACACCGGGTGTGAAGAGGGAGAATCGTCTCTACTTGAATTGGGGTCGAGTATGAAACTTTTCCACAC